CAATTTAATCGAATCCGAAAAGCCATATTGTACAGTAAGTCAGCTAGTCAAAATAATAGATTTCTAATAAAATATTCTCATGTCTGGAAAACAGCGTGAACATTATAGATTATAGACTTAACACAATAAAACTGCCAAAAAATGTTTGGCCATGATCACGAATTAATGTACTCACTCAATTTAATATTTAAAAACTACACGGTGAAAGCAGTCCGCTGGGTTGGTTCAATGTAAAAGTCAGCCTGTTATAGCGATTGAGTTTGAACTAAAGGTGCAATGGAACTACAATGCATCGCATCGAATCGCTATCAAATTGAGTCTTAGCGGGAGAAACACAGATTAGCAAGCATCAATGCACCAGTCAAGTTTTGAGGTAGGAAAAAAAGATGGGAATAGATTGATTATCAATCGATCCTTCCCAGCGCAGAGAGATAAGACCAGATTACTTGTTTCAGTATCGCATCAAATGAAATCCGTATTATTAGATATACATAGCCGCCGCCACAACCGCTCTTTCACCTACATACTTGTATAGCATTACCGATTAATTAATTTCCTTAAAATGAGAACAAAAACTACCTACACAAGCTTCCTTAATGCCTTCAAATCCACGTTCAGAAAAAAAAAAGTACCTCTATTGTATTACGTCACTAAATTGAGAAGACAAGGAATACATTTACAATGACAATAGATCCCAACCCGCAAATTTTTCTGACTCAAAGATAGAATCGTATCACGGACACAAGATGGAAGGTGAATTATGAGGTTAGGCACCTTTTTTTTCAAACGAAAATGTTGAGCTCAGAAAAAAAACACAACTTGAAAAAAAATCAACCTCAAATTAAGTTAATCTTCTTAGCTGTAACTTTTTTTGATTTGTCATAAAGAATACGGCTCTAGGTTTGTCATATTAACTTAAAAGCAAAGTTCAGTCAAAACGTGTCCAGACTATGGTCGTTAAGAATAACGCTTGATCCCAAATCCCACAAGACAAGAACTTTTAAATCAATCGATTGGTTTGATGTCACATTTTAGGGTTCAGACGCCATTTGATTGCTGATGAGTTTACCCGTTTAGTTGACTGACAAACAGCCAAATCAGAGACCCCTAGAAACCACACTTCAGCTTAACAATGAATTTTGTAAACAGTTACCCATATGGCACTATTCCTTCAGCACCACTCCCCATGCTTGCCCACAGACCGCCACGACCGAACTTTGATCAGATCAAACGTGTGATTTCATATCAACAAACAACGGTTGCTTTTGATTGAAGCTTTGTTTGTTATCAATGGTAATAATTTAAATGCGAACCCACATAGGCGGGTGTGGGTTAGGTTAATGGCTTTCAAACACTACAGACATAAATTACTAACTCGAAACCAAATTCAATTTGGACCGCTTAGCGAACATTCTAATCATAGAAACAGAACTAAAGAGCTCCAGCTGATTTTATTCTTTAGTCTAATAACAATCCATATGGTTCACACAACTTCTAATAATAACACAAATTTCAATCAGGCGTCATTTGGGTAAACGAACAACTTTGTAGTACACACTTTGGTCTATTTAAAGCCATGGTAAATATTTAATAAATTCATATAAAGGTCGTACACTCGTACTATCTATCCTATTAGGGTGAATCGGTAGGCTGATGGTTCATTATTAGTGGTGATATTTATATTTGCCGACTCGAATTGAGAGATTAGATAATTTGCATCAGATGGCACGAGGGTGGTCAAATACAAAACGATTCGACAAAGATTGAACTCACGTCTCACGCGGAAACAGAATGATACGAGGGTGTTTAATAAAAGACAATGCAACCATATCGAGGTAAGAAGATAAATTGGATCAGATGGAACGAGGGTGGTCAAATACAAAACGATTCGACAAAGATTAAACTCACGTCTCACGCGGAAACAGAATGATACGAGGGTGTTTAATAAAAGACAATGCAATCAACTCGAGGGAAGTAGAAGTTCAAATCAAGGCCATCCTTCAAGGCTACAACTTCATAACTTGATTTCAATCAAGGAACGATGTTCGGTCAAAATCACACGCCATGCTCAAAATGTCAATCACGAGACAAAAATAAACAGCTTTTGATTTTTACAAAAAAGTCCCGTTACGAAAATTGTTAAAACACACCGTATGCAAAACTTCCAAAACTCTAAACAAACACGAGTTTTATTTTTCACAGACACAATTAACTTCGCACACACAATTAACAAAAAGGAACTCCAAAAGCTGGAAAAAAACGTGATAAAAAATCAAACCAGTCGCATGCCTCAAAACACTCAGCCAAGGGAGCCAAAAAACTATCTTAATGAAAAAAGACCAACCATTTACTGCCCTATATAAGCAAAAAAAAACCTGCATATTTGTAAACTTGCCATTTTGATCTTGCTTCGAATTGCACCATTTTTTGAACCAGTTTAACACAGAGGCGAAGTTGCACTTCGCCTACACAATTAAAAATATGACCAATAACGCTACTGGAAAAAACTGAATGAGTAAAACTTAGGGTCTACAAAGTTTCTAAAATGGCGCACGCCAATTATGAGTCTACAAGCCAATGACGCAAGCCAATTATAACGCATTAGCAGTATCAGCCAATTTGAAAAAAAACAAGAAATTTACCAACTAACATGCCTCAATTTATAGAGCGGACGCACTTTAGCTAGTATACGAAAAAGTTCATTTAAAACATCCGACCCTGCCAAGGTTCGAATCCTCTTATTTTGTTGCTGATCTCCTTCCCTACCTCTACGCTACAGATCCATGATACTTGAAAGTTAAAAAGCTTTTTGTAATATAATAGTCTGTTTTAATATCCTTAGCATTGGCTGTACTTAATAGCTGGTTATCAAAAAGAACACTTTCAAAATGAACACATTTTGTCGCAACAATATTTGCGACTAATTGGAAAAAAGTGTTCATAGTATAACACAAGCATTGCTTGTGTAATTACGTTAAAAAAGCGTTGTACAGGGTTACAATATCCATGCTTATCGCAAGGGTAAAAACGTTGTAAGAAACTAGTGATTGCAAAACATATGTCTTATATACGGAAAACTAATTTGCAAATACTTGCAAGACAGCTCGTATAAGGGCGAAGCCCTGAACGTTCCGACTGCACTTTAAGATCTATGAAGGAAGTGTTCGCTTTAAAAAATGGATAAACTTCCATATTTATTTGCTTCGTCTTAAAATAAAAGGAAAAAGTAAATTCAACAGGACAGCTCGTATCAGGGCGGAGCCCTGAATTTTCTAACTGCGTTTCAATTTATATGGAGTAATTTAAACACAGAGGTGAAACAGAACTTCGTAACAATTGCGATACACCAAACCACTGACTTCTAAAAAATATTTCTGAAAAAAAAATGAAAAAAAAAAATTACGCATAATCAGACTTGGTAAAATTAAAAATTACTCCTTTTTCAGATATAGTAAGAAAAATTGTTTAAATTGGAACAAAAATGAATTCAAAACCCTTTCCGAAAAAATACGTTTAAAAAACGAAAATTGAGCCGACAGAAAAAAAAAGATACTGAGCACGAATTACATATTAGCTCCGACTTTTAAAAAAGTGACAGAATATTTGTCTGCGAGTAGTCTTTAGAAAAACTTTTTATAAATTCTGAAAAAAATCATGATCACCATTATTTGAGGCATGCTAATTGGTCCAAACAAGGCGTTACTAGAGAAATATATCACTTTGGACTTTACATTGTATATTCGGGGAAAGTTTGCGTGTGTAAAGAAATGGAATTATCATCTAACTTCATTTTTTAAAATTTTATTAAAAGCCGCTTGACCAAAAACCACTGCTGATATTTTGAAAACAGTCAAGGCTATTCAGCGCTCCACTCTGGTTTTTGCAGTCATGTATATTTATATAGCAAAAGGCATATTGATATGCCTCGAGGTGCATGTAAGCAGCTCTCATTCTCGCTACTTTAAGACATCGTATAAGAATTCGGCGTTATGTGTCACAGGATTGTGCTGACCGTTATTCCGCTAGCAAAACTGATTATGGCGACAATGCGTAGCAAGCGATAATTCGTCGCAATTATGAAAAAATGAAAATTCACCGCAAACTTAAATCAATCAAATTTAAATCAAAACTAGCGAGCGCGTCTCCATGAAACTTCAGACATGCTCCAAGTCTCTTTCAGACAAGCTAATCAAAAACGAAACGATTGACTTACTTAAACTGTTTCGCAACTTAACGTATAAAATTTTCCTAAGCAAGCTAATCAAGCAATGAAACTTCAAAACAAATGTTTTGTCATAGCGCAATCGGTTCGCCATAAGTTTAAATTTATGAAAGCAAGCTATTGAAGAGATGAAGCTTTGATAGATGGCAACTAATTTTAAAAGCAAATCGATTTGTGCAAAATTCAATTATTGTATCAAACCATTGAAACAATGAACCTTAAATTTTGATAGTCAGTTAAAGCAAGCTATTGAACTGATTAAACTCCGAAAAATTTCAAGTTCTTTTATCGACTGAATCGGTTTGAAAAATTGAAAATTTTCAAGGCAAGTCATTCAATCAATGATTTTGAAGCTTTTCAAGTTAAGTCATAAGTCGTTAAGTCACAGAAATCAGTTGACAAAACATTTTTTTCAGTAAGCTATTTAAAATATTCCATTTGTTTCATACAGCGAACAACCTAGTGAACGATTACAGATGCGAATAAAAGACTATCAAGAAAACTTTCAAATTCATTTCGTTTAAATTATTCAAAACCATTCACTATTAATGAACTACTTAATTCTCGGTACGCCCTCCCACAACCCGGCAATACAAATCCACTTCGTCATAGATCCCACATATATTTTTGAACTTCCTTGCGAGACCCCTAATAATTTAGAACCCAAACACTTGGAACCCAAACGCAATTTTGTCCGGGGAGAGGGAAAGAAACTACTTTTTGGTCCGCTATCGCCTTAAAATTTAGTCAAGAAAAAACTAGAGGCATGTCAATTCACCTTTTTCCTTTCAGAAGAGAAGTCTTGCTCACACTGGACCGTACTGGCTGATCACATACTACTTCTGGCATTTCCAGAGAGCTGTCCTGATTATTTCCCTCGCTCGCGCCCAAATCGCCAGAGCATGTCTTACAGGACACGGTGGCGAACACATTATGTAATAACGAAGTAAAGTAAGCAAACCAATCTGGTGCTAAATTACGCCCTGTACCCACGCTGTGGTGTGAAAAAGAGCTACTTTTGCGCCGATTTGCGTCCGGAATCATCGCTGGATCACCGCAACAATCTTCAGAAGTAAAAGTTTGAGAGTAGCGGAAAAAAGTCATTTCGGAATCGGCGGCTATCATTAAATTTGAATCATCAGCACAATTTTGTTTCGCAATTGTCGACTTCATCAAAGCTGTATATAGTCAAAATTACCACCTTTGATTTCAAATGCTCAATGAACTACTTGAAACATTGGCCGCGTCACTCGAATTAATAATTTGATGCTGGTTGATCAAAGGTTCACATTGAAAAGCAAACCCGCAACAATGTGACCACAATAATGATTTATAAACCGTAACTTTGAAAGCCCGAGAACGCAACTCTAAGGTTGTTTGCGCCGCAAAATCCGTTTACTTAATCAAGTGATGTTTTCGTGCTGAACAACTTAAATATTACTCTCAGCAATTTACCATCGGTGAATTAGAAAGCCACGAATCTATCTTGGTAATACGGTCTTGTCTGAGAATTCCAATTCAGAAGCACTCGCTTGCAACAAGCAGTAAAAACGATTGTATCAGAGGTAAAATAATGTATAATATTAACTCCAACTTTTTGTTAATAGTATAACGAACATAAAAATCGAATTGAGAAAAAATAGAGGTCAACTTTTTTAGAAACACTTTACATGCAAGCCTTTTTGCCAAAACTCATTTTTCAAGGTCGTTTGAATGTTGAATCCTTCAATCGACTATCAAAGATACTTGATTAAATCAGTCAATCCAATTTTTGCTCCAATAGACGAACTTATTTGCCTCACCATACTCTAGAATTGATTTTTTCCGCTCTCTAGACATTTACACCAGCTCAATAAACCCAGACTTCGACAGACCTTGAGACTGTTTCTGATATGGAACCAACAAGGACTTTAAAATGCTGCACTGACTTGTTTTTTAACCAGTCTGATTTTAGATCGGCAAATTACAAAGTAGAATTAACTCAGTGAGATAAACAGGAGATGAACATTGTCACAGTTTATGACGGACATCGAATACTCGATCATAAAAACACCACACCTTCTTGCTTCAACTGGACAAGCTAGCTTATTACTTGCGTTTGTTAAACTTAACATGCTGCTTCATTACTCGTCAACTGAACCAACTCACAGACTTGTCTCGCGCAGAGGCAACATTGGAGACTTTCTGGGCCAAGACATTTTGAATAGGTAGGATCTCCATCTTTAAGTGTTTTATGGGCAATGGCAGACTTCGGATGATCGCAAAAGGGTCATTTAAACTCGTAAAACTATCTTTTTCAGATGGGCCAATTTGATCTTCCGAGCTCGTCCAAATCAATGAAAAGCTCGATGCAGCAAAAAAATGTGCGGTAAATCCTATTTTGACCATAAAATGACTTCTTTTGGCGCGGACTCCTGCCTCGAAATAAGTTTATACGCAGAGGCCAATCGGAGATTCGCATCACTTGCAGTACCCCACAAATATAGCATTGCAAGCTAGTAGCTAGTTTTTCAACAAAAAAATCGAACATAGCCAGCAGACAGTTAGAAAAGCGTCAATGAATGCATAACAAAAACAGAAATAGTGAATTCATTTTGAAAAATGTATTAAAGCTCATTAATTTTTAAGAACAGTTAAGGATAACTACTTTTCTGATAAAGTTAACTGTTCTTAAAAATTAATGAGCTTTATGGGCATACATTTTTCAAAATGAATTCACTATTTCTGTTTTTGTTATGCATTCATTGACGCTTTTCTAACTGTCTGTTGGCTATGTTCGATTTTTTTGTTGAAAAACTAGCTACTAGCTTGCAATGCTATATTTGTGGGGTACTGCAAGTGATCAATTTGAGAAAACTAGAACAATAGAGTTTCTATTCCGCTGGGAAATTAAAAACCTCTCAAAACTAGTGACTTTTACACTTCTGCTGTTCAATAAAGGAGTTGGCATTCAATTTTAACAAAGGAAATGAACTGCACTTAAAACGAAACCAAACCGCCAAAAATCGATATTGCGCGTGAGAAGAAAATCATCACGACCTATATAAGAGACTACGTTCATTGACGCTGAAATTTTTATAGTTGTGGTTTTGCAGCTTTCTGCAATGTTGAATTTTTTATAAGTTCAGAAACAATCGCCAGTAACAACCTTCAACACAATCGCCACTAACTACTTTGAATAAGTAATCAGAAGCCTTAACGGAGCGGTATTTGGCCGTCAAAAATTAGGTAACTCCCATTGAGCCGAAAACTGCCATGAATTGTCAAAAATCTTTTTCCCGTAAATCGACGCATAGATCACTGAGCCGATAAAACGTTTTGAGAACACATAGGTAAAAAATCTAAAACAAGGAGTTAAAAAAATCAGATGTAAATAACAATTACAGTGAAAGTGCTTGCCGCACAAAAAAAAACCTCTGACAGCAAAAGAACATCCGGGACAAGGCAACTAAGCCGACAAAAAATAAGAGGACAAAAAGGCCGAACACTTTAAACGGAATTTAAAACTCCTAAACGGAATTTAAAACAAGAATCTATGGAACTGAAAGTCCTTGAAAAAATCATGTCCTGGCCAGATTCAAACCTAGGACCTTTTCTCATCCAGGCGTACTTGCTACACCTAGACCAAGTGTGCTAGAGAAGCTAAGAACTTCGAAGCTAAGAACTTCGCAGCTTTTATTAAATCAAATTATTCTGTTGAGCAAGGTATACCGAAAAAAGCCTATATTCCTAAAAGCAAGCAAAAAACAGCTAATTTTTCAGCAAAACTCTAGTATTTGAAGAGGTAATTGAACTCTAGAAAACTGTCATAGTAGAGTTTTGCTGAAACAATTAGCTATTTTTTAGGAATTACCTGCTCCAATACACGAAGTATTTGTAAATTTTTAGCATTTTTGTCATTGTTTTTCTAAATGGCACAAAAACTTGTTCGCTTGGTCAGCTATTTAAGAAATTAATGAAGGAAAATATTGAATTAGGTCAAAAACCTGACAGTAATAATGGGAATAAAAATATCCATTAAAGGCAGGATGCTCTGAACTAATAACATCCCTGAAATTTTATCAGCTTTACAATAGCGTTATAGGGACAAAATAAACCTTCAGGCAAGAGATTCTTAACTCTTCAAATGCAACTAGCATTGTCTGGCTTCTCTTGAAAGTCTGGGGGCGTGGAAGAAAAAAGAAGGTTAACTTGAGAACGACAACAATTAAAATTGGAAGATGCAAGCTTGGCTGAATGCTTTATAGTCAAGGAAAGAAAGATAAGGGAAACCAATCGATCTATTGTCACATTCAATTTTGTCAAATTGCATAGCATCCTTATTTTACTCAAATGGTCATGCATACAGATTATGATCCGATTTGAACAAACCGTAAATTTTGATCACCAATTCAGACTACGCAACTTTACTGTATAAGAGACATAGGAAAAACATTTCCAGGCAACCAATTGACAAAAACATGAAAAGAGTGCGCTATTTCTAGAGCTCTTTGAGGAAGATTCAACACAAAGGCGAAGCTGAGCTTCGCACCACTTGCGATACAAATATGAATGTTATGAAAATCAAACGGAAAAAATTCAAAAAATCGTTTTTGTCACAAAGCCCAAAATATCCGGAACAAAATTGCCTGCACCATAAGAAACTCTAAAGAGAAATCGGGAATGCTATACAAAAGCCAGGTTTTCAAAAAAGTCCTTTCTGCGGAACTAAGCAGACAGACAAGAATGTAAATTAGCTAAAATTTTCTATTTGCAAGAAAAACAAAACTCAATTGGAATCGAACTTCCGGGGTTCGTTGTCTCAAGCATGAGTGTTACAGCAACTTGAATAAAGCTGAACCATCGAGCTACGGGAAATGGGGCGACAAAAATAAACAGATGCAAAAGAGGGCCCGGCCGGATTCGAGCCGCAAATCTTTGCCATCTCAAGCAGTTGTTTTACCTCTTCGCCAGATGGTTGATTGGATTTGAATTTATAATTACCAAGCGGTAACAAAGCCGAAAAAAAAGAGCAAAAACCCTTCATGCCGAAAAAAAATTCAGAAAAGTTCTTAACTTATAAAAAATGTCAAGTCCCTTTTCCCGTCATAGCTCTCATACACACACAAAAAAAAAACTTTTTTTTCGGATGTAACGACGCAATACCGGGCCACTAAATCTATATCAATTAGGTCGAAACTTTTTAAACCGATGAAAAATATGAAAAAAACTACTGAAATCTTAGTAAATCGGGCTGGTTAATTTACAACCAATGTGAAAAGCAAAATTCTATTCGGCCGGATTTTCAAAATGCCAAAACAATTGCAGTTGAAATTGTTTACAGCAAAATAAAAGATTCTTAGATGTGACAACTAAACCGACAAAACAAGCACACAAATAATAGAACAAAATTTTTTTGAACCGGAACAATTATCTTTTGAAAAAAAACTGGTCCTGGTCGGATTCGAACCCAAAAACTTTGCCATCCCAGGCGTATTCGTTACCACCAGGCTAAGCGTGCAAGAGACACTACAAATTTTGAATTCTTTATAAACCAAGGTACCACCAGTAGGCTAATGAGTCATGTGGACAAAGTTGTTTACGGGGAAAAAAGTCTAGTGCCCAAATGCAATACCCTTGCTATCGCAAGGGTAATATTATGGCTTTCAAATGATTCAATTGGGGGAGATCCCATAGCAGTCATTCAATTCTCTATATCTCACTTATTGCTCCAACTTTCTGAAGAAAACCGAATATTTGGGGTGATTTTTTACGAACAGTTTATAACAAAAAAATATATATACCCCATTGAAGATATCGACTCCCTGAAATCAAATGTATAAAATAGTCTGCCTCGATCATTTTTTAGCAAAGATCTGGGAGTGTAAAAATTGCCAAATCGGCCATGCTCAGGACTAATTTATGTGCGCTTTCAAAATTTTATTCTTAATGCTGAAAGCGTAAAGTGAACTAGCGTTTAACGCACCTTCGGTGCTTCGAAATTTTTCGACAACTCAGTAAAAACCGCATATATTGGAAACAACATCTGCAAACTTTTAGTGTACTCTGACTGCACCCAATTACAAACTTTAATTTTTTTTTTAATTCCCATTTTAAAAGCGTCATCTCAAAAACTTAATGGGCCTCTGGAGAAATTTGGAGGCCAGATTTGTAACCACTGAGAGTCCCTGAGAGCACCCTACTATAGAGTAAGGAATCCAAAATTTTGTGAACTTTTTTAAACCTAAGTTTCCCGAAAAAAAATTGAAAAAAAAACGTCTTATCTCGGAAACTAAAAGGATTTGAGCAGTCATATTAAGAGGCAATATTTGAGACGCCTGGGTGTACGCTGACAATAAGGTTGTATCTTCATCATGCTGGTAGTTTCAAATTTTTTGAATTTCTTTGTAGATAAGTTCTTGGAGAAATTTTGAAAAAATCAAAAAACGTCACTTCTCGGAAACTAAAAGCATTTGAGCAGTCGCATTTATCATTCGCATGTGGCAAGATTTGCAACTCTTTTAGAGTACCCTGACAACACCGAACTATAGCGTTGGGAATTTCAAATTTTGAAAAAAAAATAATTTTAACTTTTTGAAAATGTTGAAAAGTCACAAAAAAACGTCACATCTCGAAAACTACAAAGAATTGGGCAGCCATATTTGGAGGCAAGATTCGCAATCCTTGAGATTACTCTGACAGGACCTAACTACAGGGTTGGGAATTTCAGATGTTTAAAGAATAATAGTAATTTAAGTTTTCTGAAATTTTTTTTAAAAAATCACAAAAGACGTCATATCTCGAAAACTACTAAAATTTGAGCAGTCACACTTGGAGGCAAGACTCTCAATCTTTGAGAGTACTCTGAAACGACCTAACTACAGGGTTGGGAATTTCAGATTTTAAAAACTTATAATAATTTATGTTTTCTGAAAATTTTTGAAAAAATCACAAAAAACGTCATATCTCGAAAACTACAAAAAATTGAGCAGTCATATTTGGAGGCAAGAGTAGCAATCTTTGAGACTACTCTGACAGGATTCAACTACAGGGTTGGGAATTTCAGATTTTGCAAAAAAAAATTAATGTTAGTTTTCTGAAATTTCTTTTGAAAAAATCACAAAAAACGTCATATCTCGAAAACTACAAGGATTTGAGCAGTCATATTTGGAGGCAAGATTTGTTACTCCTTAGAGTACTCTGGCAGCATCCAACTACAAGGTTGGGAATTTCAAATTTTGAGAAATAATTTAAGTTTTCTGAAAATTTTTGAAAAATCACAAAAAACGTCATATCTCGAAAACTACAAAGAATTGAGCAGTCATATTTGTAGGCAAGATTCGCAATCTTTGAGATTACTCTGACAAGAACCAACAACAGGGTTTGGAATTTCAGATTTTGCGAAAAAAATTATGTTTTCTGAAAATTTTCTGAAAAAATCA